GACGTAGCGCACTTGCTCTGAATCCGTGAGGGGACAGCCAGAAGTCCTTCTCTTACTGTGCAGATTCTAAGAAGGGCTGAAATGATGCTCTCTGCCCTTGTAAGGGCCCTTGTGTCCGGGAATACACAGACAGGCACAGACCATGGCTTTCTCGTTGGCGTTCTGTCACCAAGAAGCCTCCGCAAGTTGACATTTGTTAAAGCTCTTAAATCCCGCGATAATGAGTCCACTCCCCAGAGATTCCTGGGCTTTCGCTCCTGACACAGCCGAACTGGCCGTGGGCACAGTCTCCGAGCACTCTGGCACTTGGCTGCTGGGACTGGGGGGACAAGGACCACTTGCACGTGCAGAACCTCAGACGTGGGGCCTCAGCTCAGCTGTTCCAGGGCGGCAGTTCCCCGGCTCGCTCCTGCTCACAGGCAGGCCGGGTTCTTTGAACCTGAATTCTGGACTGCCCCTTCCTGTTGTTTTTAGTCTTATTTTAGCTCTCTGGTTCTACCTTTTCCAGCTTGAGTCAATAGAGGTGGGTGTGCCCGCAAGTCGGGATGCCGGATTCTGAGCCTGGGGGTTGGTTTCTGCCCTCACCTCGCTCTGCCCTCCTTGCAGACCTGCCCTGTTTGTTGCCACATACAAACTAGGGGCAGGCAAGGCGAGGCAGAGGCAAGACATCACATTCAGGGAGTTTTTCCAGGCTCCAGAGGCCCGGGATGCTTGGCTACAAACGCCTTTTGATTTTATTTTATTTTATTTTTATTTTTTTGAGTCAGAGTCTCCCTCCGTCGCCCAGACTGGAGTGCAGCGGCCGCTCCCGGCCACCGCAGCCTTGACCCGCTGGGCTCCGGCGACCCTTCCGCCTCGGCCTTCCGAGTAGCCAGAATTACAGGCACGCACTACCATGCCTGGCTGATTTTTTGATTGATTGTAGAGATGAGGTCTCGCTGCCCAGGTGGGTCTCGAACCCGCGGGCTCGGGCAATCCACTCACCTCAGCCTCCCAAAGGCGCGGGATGACAGGCTGAGCCACTGAGCCCAGCTTGATTTTATTTTTTAAATGCAATTCCACATATCTGTTTATCTAAAGACAAGGCCTTCCTCTGTCACCCAGGCCTAAGCGCTGTGGCGCAATCCTAGCTCACTGCAGCCTTGACCTCCGAGCCGCAAGCATTCCTCCGGCCTCAGCCTCCTGAGCAGCTGGGATTAGAGGGATGAGCCACTGTGCCTGGCATAGAATCTTATTTTTTTACAATGAAAAACGGATGCTTAGTAGCTTCTGCCTGTTTTTTTCTTAAAATAAGTGAGACTATGCTGAACCTAAATGGAATGTCAAAAAAACAATAAGTGGGTTTTTCGTTAGCAAACGGGTGCTTCTGAATAAGCAGAAGAAAGTAAAAAACCCAGAAGTTAACCCAAAAGTTGCTGGAATTAAACCTAGAGGGGTGATAAGTTCACATCTAATAACCAGATGCCCTGTATACTCCTTAAGTCATGAGTTCCAGTAATGCATTTAAATTACGACTTTCGCCAGAATTCATCATGAACAAAAAACCTCTCCGGGGAAAAATAGCTACGAGTAAAACGGAGGCAAACGCTGTTTTTGAAACGTTGGGCGAGATTCCTTGGCTGATCACGTCAGGGACTTGTGCTGCCTGGATTGAAAGTCCCCTTCGACTCTGAGACTCTGCGCTTCTATTAATGGGTCATGTTCACTTGTTTTCTTAACTCAAAACTGGAATGCCAAATTCCGACTCTTTTTTACAGAGTGATTTGGAGAGCTGCCAAGATATTATTAATTAGTAATCATTAATGTTAATGATCACAGTATAGATTGATTACTGCTAGTACCTCTGCGAGAAAGAGATGGGCTGAGCCTTGCTTCAGGCCGACCAGCGTGGCCAGACTTGGCGGCAGAAGATTGGGCGTTGCGGCGGAGCACGACCCTGGCTCCACCCGCCAGTCCTTCCTCGCCTGGATGGAGCCCTCAGACGGCCGGTCCCACCGTGGTGCTGGTCAGCTGGTGTCTGTCAGGGTCTTGCTGCACTCAGCAGGGAAATACTCCGTCCGATTAGCAAGTGTTGTGCAGGAGTGGGGAAAGGGGGACGTGGCTCTGCTGTGTGCGAGGAGGAGGCTCCCGCAGGGGTGTAGCCCACCTGGCCGTTTCCAGCCGTCTCCTTCCTTTCCTCCTAAGAGAAGCACGCGGCTGATCCTTTTGCAGTTCGTTTCGGTGCTGAGTGGCAGCTCGCACACACATGTGTGGGCTGGGCCACTCTCAAACCTTGTTAGGATGGGGGCAGATGACCCACCGCACAAAAGAGGGAGAGAGAAGGGAAGAGGCGTGGCTTAATCTGACTGTGAGTGTGGAAGGGTAAGGGCCTGGCTCATCCCTGTTCTTTTAGGTGTGGGCGATTGCTGGCAGCTGACGTCAGCACACGCTGTGAAGGGATCAGGCCAGCACACCCTGTTAAGTGTGGACCCGCATATGCATGGGGGGCCATCCCCCGGAGCCCCTGAGGCCCTTGGTCCTGCGGAAAGCCGTCTAGTGCCGGGAGCCGAGTTGTGAAGTACACTGCTCCACAGACATGAGCCCTTTGCCCAGTTGGCCTCCTAAACTCTCTGGTGATAGTTTGTTTTCACATCTGCTTTATACTTCTGTGTAGTTTTTCAGTGGATTCATACATCCGGCTGGAAAGGAAAGTGCTACTTATAACTCCTCCAAAATCTATTAGGGGTGCGCGGGTGTAAACTAGTTCCAACAGTTTTCTTGAGGTCGTAGTTGGTTTGGTTTCTGAATTGCTTTTTTTGGCCCATAGAAAGATTGCTTTAAAAACAACTGAAGCCAGGCTCGGTGGGTCAGCCTGTAATCCCGCGCTTTGGGAGGCTGAGGTGAGTGGATTGCCTGAGTCCACAGGTTCAAGACCCGCCTGGGCAACGTGGCGAGACCTCATCTCTACACTGAATCCAAAAATCAGCCGGGTGTGGTGTTGCGTGAACAAAAATTCCGCATACTTGGAAGGCGGAGGCAGAAGGATCGCTGGAGTCCAACAGGTAGAGGCTGCAGTGGGTGCGAGCGGCCACTGCATTCCAGTCTGGGCAACAGAGTGAGACGCCAATCAAAAAAAAAAAAAAAAAACCAAAGCAAAACAATTGAGGCTGGGCGTGGTGGTTCAAGTCTGTAATCTCAGCACTTTCGGAGGCTGAGATGAGAGGATTGCCTGAGCCCCGGGGGTTCGAGACCAGCCTGGGCAACTTGGCAAGACCTCATCTCTATAAGAAATCAAAAATAGCTGGGTGTGGTAGCGCATACCTGAAGTTCCAGCTACTTGGAAGGCTGAGGCAGAAGGATCACCTGAGCCCAGGCAGCAGGTTGAGGTTGCAGTGGCCGTGAGCGTGCCACTGTACTCCAGCCTGGGCGACAGAGCAAGACTCTGACTCAAACCCCCCCCCAAAACAAACATTTGGCATGTCTAGAGTAGCTTCAGGTGATTAACATTTGCTTTTAAATTCAAAGGTGTTAGGGTCACACTCCCAGCGGGACCTCCAGAATGTTAGGTCAGGCCCATGGGGGTGAGGGGTGTCTGGTGTGCGATCCGGTGACACAGAGAAAGATGCAAAGAATTGCACAGAAGTTAGATTAGAAGACATGAGTTATTTAAAAGTAAATTAGAGAAAGAGAGAGAAAGAAAGAGGATCACTTCCCCAGTGTAGGGAAGGAGGCCAAGAAAACACAGCCTAGCCATAGCTGAAAGCGCACATGGCCACACCATCGTTTAGGAATGCAAGAACCGTGGCAGCGGTCTAGCCATGGCCAAGCGGCTGCTCGTGGTTGAGTCCTTGCAACCATTTCCCTGGGATGAGGGAAGGTCGTTAAGGTGGTGGTCGGCTCCACATCTTCACGAAGGGTCAGGTGAGCGCAGTTACTGACGCCCGGTGATGGACAGCAGGCAGGTAGATGGGTTAGTCACATGATTGCTGCCGTGGTGGTGGGCTAGATGGGAGGAGACAAGGGGAGGAGGTTTTCTTGCGAGACTTGTCAGACATTTGCAGCCCGCAAACTGCAAACTCCTTGACCAGATGGTGGTCTGTTACCATTTCTGTGCTCTGTCCTTGTCTTGCATCTGATGGAGATTAGCCAGAGGGTAATCTGGGGTAGGCTGCCACTTAGCCTGCAGTCCAATGTCTGAATGCTTCCTAAAACCTGCCTATTGGAAATGTATCTACCTATGTCTAACCAGTGCTAGATTCAAAGCATGTCAGTGGTGAAGTCCAAGCAAAAGTGGTTGTGCTGAGGCAAAAAGATTAAACTAAGTTTGTTCTAGGTTTCTATGAGTACCTCCTTTCAAAAGGGTTAGATACACGCTTAAGACATTAGAATAAAAAGGTGTCCTGAAGGCCATGCAGGTTTGCTTCCTGCTGCAGTGTTGTTTGTAAACTCAGTGAATGTGGACGTCTTGCTGTAGAACTAGATAATAATGTGTAGGATCATTGCTCTCCTGCCTTTCATGCGCCATATTAAAATCAGGGGTAAAAATCTCTGTTAAGTACTTCTTCCTTTCAGTAATGTCATAGAGCTTTCTTACCACGCAGACCTGGAAGACAAGTTGTCCGAAAGCCTTACTTGAGGCAACTCGAACACAAATTTCAAAGGACAACCATCGAGGGTGAGCAGCTATTGCAGTCTGCCAGGACCAGCTTGGCTAACGGGGGCATGGGCTGTTCGCTGCCCAAATCAGGAACGTCTGTGGCAGACCAGGTCAGGCCGGTCCCCTGCAGATCGTGCGTAGCCGTGCTCCCAGAGATGTCACTCATTTAAATGTGGAGCTTGTAGAGGACGAAGGCCTTCACGGTGGTCGCGGTGTCCCAGGCCCTCTGCTGTCAAAGGGACGCCTGCTTCCCCAGGCCCCACGACCACAAGACCGGGCCGTCCGATGTGCCCGGTGTTGACCAAGCGGGGGCGGTCCTGGCTCCTGCTTTCCTTTAACTCGTGTCCTGCTCTCCTCTGCGCAGGTGTGTGACTCGGACACCATGCTGGACCCTGCCTCGTCTGTGGAGATGGTGAAAGTTCTCGAAGAAGACCCCATGGTCGGGGGTGTCGGAGGAGACGTCCAGGTGTGGCTTCACTCTCTGCCTGAGGCACTCCTAGCAGCGGTCTTGGACATGCACGTTGTCACACCCGCTCTGTGCCCAGAGCGGTTCTTGGTGTTGGAGACACGTCCACAAGTGCCCCAGGCCCGCATCACTGCCTCTCCCCCTGCGTGCATTGAAATAATTGTGGATTTTCTTGCTTAGTACTGGGGTATAACCCAGTTCTGTGGTGGCTGATTTATATGCAGCATAAAATGAGTGTGTGATGATTTTTACCATATATTCTTGGGCCATAACTTAGTGCTCTGGGTTCTGCTAAAAATCTGCTGTTGGAATTCTAGTTATGAGAAGGAAGAAATGGAAGTATAGTGGGAAAAGATTGTATGTCTTGCATGCTTAAAGACTGGTCAGTGTGTGGTTGATTCTGCTGCGTTGAAAAAGAAAGGAGGAAAAGAAAAACAGCAGCTTAAATGTATGCTAGTAAGAAAGACAGACGATAAGTGGGCTTTCCAAGATTGCCGTCATTTGCTGTCCATGGAAAAACAGTTAGTGAAACAAATATTAATGTCATTGACACTTATGGGAAGGAAGCATAAGTATGTGAAAATATATGAAGATTAAAATAAGAATCCTAGCCGGGAGGCGGTGGCTCACACCCATAATCCCAGCACTTTGGGAGGCTGAGGTGAGAGGATTGCCTGAGCTCACAGGCTCGAGATCAGCCTGGGCAACTTGGTGAGACTTCGCCTCTACAGTAAATTAAAATATTAGCTGAGCATGGTGGTGCGTGCCTGTAGTTCCAGCTACTTGGAAGGCCCAGGCGGAAAGATCCCCTGAGGCCAGCAGGTCAAGGCTGCAGTGGCCGTGAGCATGCCACTGCACTTCAGCCTTTGCAAATGCGAGGTCAGATTTCAGCAAAAGGTGAGATGCTCCTGGGAAATGACTTTAAAATTTAGATATCGTGTTGCTCTAGGGCCCGTTTTGCGTATGCAGGTTGACAGTGAAGGCAAAGAAATTCCATTGGCAATTAAAAAGGAAGTGAGCAAAATCCAGACCAAAACCAGAGAAAATTAAGACAGAGGAGAGGGTTCGGAAATATTGCCAGAAAAGCTGATGATTTCCAGTAGCTTACGTCTGAAGTAGTGTTTCAAAATCAGATTTTGCAGGGAGGCCACAGAAAACTTTTTTTGTCACTGGCACTGCAAGAAAGCGTGGAGAAAGGAAAAGGAAAAGTAGCAGCCATGGATGGGGTCAGTTTGGAATTGACCACACAGGAGGGACTAGGACGGAAACACTTTCAGGCCTTCGGTGGGATCAGAGAGTGCCTGGGAGAGGAATTTCAAGACCGAGAATGAGCGCCTAAAAACTCCCACTATCCAAAAAACACCAAGAGCAAGAGTAGAAAACATAGCCACAAAGGACAGAGAATGAAGAAGTGAAAGAAGGAAAGTCACCACCAAAGCCCCCCACACGCACATACCTCAACCCATTAATGTAGTCACCACATCAGAGAAGACACAGTACAACCATGTCAAAGAGAGGGCGGGAGCCTCGGCAGGAGGACGGAATAACAGACCTCACTGCAGGTGGCAGCCTCCGGAGGGTGTGGGCTTTGTTGGTGTTTTCTGCTCACGCCTGCCTTTTGCTTGTTTTTCCTTCCCGCAGATTTTAAACAAGTATGACTCCTGGATCTCGTTCCTGAGCAGCGTGCGGTACTGGATGGCTTTCAACATAGAACGGGCCTGCCAGTCGTATTTCGGGTGTGTCCAGTGCATCAGCGGACCCCTGGGGATGTACAGAAACAGCTTGCTGCACGAATTTGTGGAAGACTGGTACAACCAGGAGTTCATGGGCAACCAGTGCAGCTTTGGAGACGACCGGCATCTCACGAACCGAGTGCTAAGCCTGGGCTACGCCACCAAGTACACAGCTCGCTCCAAGTGCCTTACGGAAACCCCGATCGAGTATCTCAGATGGCTGAACCAGCAGACCCGCTGGAGCAAGTCCTACTTCCGGGAATGGCTGTACAACGCCATGTGGTTTCACAAGCATCACTTGTGGATGACCTACGAGGCGGTCATCACCGGATTCTTCCCTTTCTTTCTCATCGCCACAGTGATCCAGCTCTTCTACCGGGGCAAAATCTGGAACATCCTCCTCTTCCTGCTAACTGTCCAGCTAGTAGGTCTCATCAAATCGTCGTTTGCCAGCTGCCTTAGAGGAAATATCGTCATGGTCTTCATGTCCCTCTACTCCGTGTTGTACATGTCCAGTTTGCTTCCTGCCAAGATGTTTGCCATCGCAACAATAAACAAGGCTGGGTGGGGCACGTCAGGAAGGAAAACCATCGTGGTGAATTTCATAGGACTCATTCCGGTGTCAGTTTGGTTTACGATCCTCTTGGGCGGTGTGATTTTCACCATTTATAAGGAATCCAAGAGGCCGTTTTCAGAGTCCAAGCAGACAGTTCTGATTGTTGGAACGTTGCTCTATGCGTGCTACTGGGTTATGCTTTTGACACTGTATGTGGTTCTCATCAACAAGTGTGGCAGGCGGAAGAAGGGACAGCAGTATGACATGGTGCTTGACGTATGATCCTCTGTGGCGTCACGGACGCAGTCACACACACACACACCTAGTTCCACTGGGGCCGTTCAGTATTGTGGCATCAGATGACGCCACCAAAGGAGACATATCACTGCTGCTGGGACTTGAACAAAGACGTTTCTATGGGTCTATTTTCATTCTGCCAAAGTAAAACGATCCATCAGTGAGAAGAAACTCAGATTTAGCCTGTCATGTCTATGAAAATGGGTTGAACTCTTTGTTTATGCACTTTCTCCTTACTGTGCATGCGCCTGAAAGTGTTCTGCCCAATATACCTCACTAGCCATGCTTTATGTGGGTTACGGAAGAAAAGGATTTGGAAACTCAAGGAAAAGTTCTTTCCACCTAGCCAACCTAATTTATGGACTGCTGGGATAGATGGTCTTTTAGGAAGGATGTCCTTTTTTGACTTTGCCAAATGAAATGCCAAAGGAGACTTCAAAGGCCGTTGGCTGTGCTGTCTTTTGATGTAATTGTACTGTGTTTTTAAATTTTGTATGCCCATTTTTAAAACAAATTTTGCATATTCTATATTTTACTGCTCTGCAAAAAAAAAAACACCTGTTCTTCCCTTGTTGTAAAAAATAAAATAAGTTCTGAAAAAGTTCATGCGTAAAAAAACCTGCCCAAAATGTGAAGCGTGGTTGACTGATGTCCACAATAGAAAGAATAAAATGTTTGTCTCTCTGTCTACCTTTAAAATGGAATAGTTTATTTCTGTGAAAGAAAAAGTATTTAAACTTTCAATATTTTAACATTTTGTTTTCACTTTTTTTTGAAAAAGGCCAATATAACTGTCACACTTTGGAAGTAAAAACACATACTTCTGTGTGCACAGGAAAATCATATAAAATCAAGGCCAAAGGTAGTGCAATTTTTTCGTAAGATAAAAAAAGGGAATGCTAGTCTTTGAAAGGAAACAAATAGGCATCCAGCACTGGACAAAACACAAGTATCAGAGATGGATAATCTTTGGAGAGTCTGGCTGTGTTTTCCCAGGCCAAGGAAAATGGAAAGTAGAAAAATTATCTGGATAATTTGGACAAATACTATGCCGTGTATCAAAGGTTTTGTACTGTGACCTGAATTTACCAGATCCTACCTATATGTTAAACATGTTTCACCTGTCTTTTTTTTTTTTTTCAGCTTGCCGGTTCACTTTATATGTGAGTATGATGTTTACATGGGCGAGTTGGATAAATTATAAAAAGTAGAAAACATTCCAATTCAAAACTGGCAGATACAAGCTCCAAATGTCCTCTTTTACTTTCAAGGGAGGGCTTTTTTTTCCCCCCCTGAATCATACAGACCATTGCTTCATCTCCTGTTTTGGCCTAATGTAAAAGTGTCTACACAGTAGAAAGGATATCAAGGTTTAACGAGTACATCAATCATTGGCACATATGAAATCGATGAACCAAGGGCTCTGAACTTGGTTCATTCAGTTGCTCCAGGCTCTCAGTGATCCAGCTTGACTTTTTGCATGACTGATCCTGCCTTGCAGCTGGTGCTGTGTAGACCTGTGTTAAAAACACACTCAGAATGCAGGGATAGTTGGATGGACAACATTGTGGTGAAGCAGAGACACATGGAGACATGTTAAACAATGTGCTCCCTGCCTTCCTGCTTCTTACGCAGTCATCAGTGTTACATCTGTCCTGCCTAAGAAAAAGCTGCACGTTCTACCTTCAGAGTACAAAAAGGTACATGCCTTGAAACTCAGACTCTCACTGATCAGAGAGCTTGTGGGAAAAAACACACCATGCCAATAAATGAGACTAAAACTTGAGTTTGCCTTTTTAACTATTTATGTTCTAAGTTAAGCTTTGAATAACATTCAAATGTCAAATTTTCTCATTCTTATACAAAGTTGAATTAATTGCCTGTATTTATTTTAGCAATTATTCAATGTATTTCCAGTATAGGATGTATAGTATAATTAATTTTTTGTAAATAAAATATTTTTGATAAGATTATTGCCTTTTTTTCTAAGGGAAGGGGGAATTCTGTTTTCCTTATTGCAATGGTATGAGTTTAAGAATGGGGTCAGTGGAAGAAAATCATGGTTGGTGAAAGATAATATGCCACTTAACATTACTTATTATTAGGTAAAAATGCTCAGAATTGGTGTGGTTTGGAAATGAAAACCAGAGAGGGAGAGAGAGGCGGGCTCAGTTATTATTACCCTTGTTTCTGATCTTCCTTTCCTTCTACTTCCCTTGAAGGAGCACAAATTTAGACAAAAGTTGTATGGTAGTAACTTAACGTAGCAGGAAAAAGATCACAGATATGCAGAACAATTACAAGCAAGCGTGTTTGTTACGGCATCACTGGAAAATAATAAGCCCCAAAACAGCCTAAAATCAAATAATGAGGGCAATTATCGAGTGAGTTGTGGCACCTTCAAATGACAGGGAATCAGTGTTCTCAGTATACGAGGTGTTGGAGAAACAGCATATTAAAAATACAGCCATTTTGTACAGTACCATCTCAATCTTGTAAAAACAAAAATGTTTAAATATGGTTATTTCTAATACTGGGAATGTGACCGATTTATATTCTGTGTACATATTTTGTGTTTTCCAAATACCATAAACGTGTATTGCTTTATCATCAAAAAAAGGACAATAAATATTGTGTTATCTAAAGTGGGTTGGGACATCTAGTGGCATTTCCTGATTTGAGGAGCTTTGACGGTAATTAACCTCATTTTACCTCTTGTCCCTCAAATTCATCTTGGTTCCTTGTTAAAAATGATTTGTTTCTAAGAATCATTCATTCCTTTTGTTACGTTAAAAACGACAGCCACTGAACATCATTGTCACTGTAGGCAGTGGAAATACTGGTGGTTCCCGTCTCAATAATTCATGGATGAGGTCACCTGGTGGCAATCTTTTCGTGTAAAGAGCCATGTAGTATTTAAGCCATACACTTTGTCATTTAAACGTCCCTCCGCCCTGCCGATGAGGCACAAAAGCATCCATAGGCAGTTTGTAGGCAGAAGAGTGGTTATGTTTCAGTGACACTAGGATTTGAAGTTTATATCCTTTTCATGCTGCAAAGTAGTCTGTTGATATTTATCAGCCACTGAAAAAAAGAGAGAAAGGTATTCCTAGGTCACCAGTATTACCCCGCGGGCCCAGTTTAATGACCCTGCTCTGTAGGAATCTGCTGACTTGTTTGTACCATCAAGGGCTTGCACAGACAGCTAACTTTTGAGCACATGCTCTGTGTCAGGCACTGCCAGAAGCACGTTTGTCAATCAGCTGTTTCCTTTGCCAACGTCAGTCCCAAGGGGTTCCATTATTATTGCCATTTTAGAGGCAAGGGTGCTAAGGCTTAAAGAAAGTTGGTACCCTAAGATCATAATGCTAGTAAGTTGTAGTGGTGATATTCTGATGTCAAGCCTACCCCCGAAACTGGTGCTACTCAGCATTTTTCCAGTGTCCAGCAGCATCTGGGAATTTGTTAGAAACATAACTTCATGGTCTTTTCCAGCCTTACTGAATCGTCACCGGAGACACGGTTTAATAATATCCCCAGGAAATTTCTAAGCACATCAACATTTGAGAAGTGCCCTAATCTCAACTTGACCGTCATCACTTCTAAGACAGAGATTCATTCAAATACTTGTATTTGCCTCTTGAAATTTTGTACTTCAGTGCCATTCATGGGTGCTGGCAGATACCAGGTTTTAATTAAGTTAAAGTAAATTGGGCAAGATATGAAAAGCTGTACACCATCTCTCTAAGAAGATTATCATTCAGAAGCTTTATAACAATTATACAAAGATTTTACGAGAAACAGAATCAGAGAGGTATAAAGAGTAGCATGAGACATAAAACGAGCAAAGGAATATGTGCAATTAGCTCCGGAAAGGCAGGATTTACTATCCATGGTATGTGGGTCGATTCTTTAAGGATGTGCAAATCTGGATATAAACTAAGGACTTCCTAAGCAGAAGAAATACCATGAGTACAGTGATAGAGATATAATCTTACTACGTGGGCCTCTAAGCAGAATTAACAAAGTGAATGAAGGTGTGGGTGGCATTTAGCCAAGAGCTGGGACGTAGCTGTAGCAAGTAAATTTGAAGGTGACCCACAGAAGACCGTGACCAACTGGGAGAAATGCTAGAATGAGGTATTTAAAATCTCTAATTTTGATAGATCATAGTACGTGTGGAATTTGGGGGCAGGTGCGAGCATTGTTATAAAGTGGGTGTTTTATGATGGTTTGGGTTTGAACATCTTTTTGTTTTTTATTTTGTTTTATTTTGGAACAACCCACATAAACAATTGTGCTGTGAATTTTGCCTGGGTCTGAGCATGCGTGGAACGGGCTGGTCCTGTCATCCCACCGTGGACCGCCAGCCTCGTGCCCCTTCCAGATCCACCTCCCAAGCTGCGCCCTCAGGCCTCCCCTCCTGCCGGGATGCACACGGTGTCTCCAGCCTGTCCTGTATACAGGGAGCCCATTGCTAGTGAGTCACTGCAGCCTTCTCACGTCTCTCAGACTCATCTCTCCTCCTCACGGAGACTTTATCTCTTGCTGAACCTTTGGCGATACCCCTTACTCCTTCCCACTTCTGTGTTATCCAGCGGACTGTCCACATTTCTGTCAAAAGTGTTCTCCTAATTCTTGAATCCTCCATGGTAACTAGCACAGTCTGGTGCCAAGTAAAATTTGGCAAGTAAGTAAATACAGCAACAGGAAAGGAACCAGAAAGGATGGATGAACTCAAGTCATAAATCTTACTTTAGAAAACTTGGTCACATTCTAGAGGTTTTGCTACAAGATAGGCTTTGGAGTGTGAGGGCTACATAATCCTTTTGTTCCATGCCTGCGATGATACCTTTATCACCAAAAGGAGACACCTTGGCTCTGTCAGGTTAAGGCATTCATTCAGCAAACGGTGTTTGAGTACTGACAATGTCGTGCTTGCCTTCAAGGAATTCTTGGAGTTCCTCTAGGAAGCCGTGCTCCCCCCTCCTGAGGTGTTTCCAGAAGTTCTCCACCACTCCCACCGCTGCCTTGTCTTTTGTCTCTCCTCTGCCTTTCAGTCTCAGCAGTCTTGTCCTCAGGGAAGCCTTTCCTGACTGCATTGTTAGGCTTGTTCCTCTACCATATTCTCTCGCAGAATTCCTGGGGCTTATTTTTCAGTCTTGTCTCTATGACTCCATGTTTAATATCTCTCTCTTATCAAGAAGATGGAAATCTGGGCGGAGGAAACGGTGTGAAACTGTGTCAGCACTGCATCCTCCGACGATCACTTAACACATAGTTTTGTCATAGGGCAGAAGCTTGAGATTCATTTGCGGACAGAATAAATGGGTGAAGGGATAAGACTCTCAGTAGCAGGTTGGGAAACAGCCATGGACTTAGGGTTTAAAAACAACATGTCAGATTGTGGCTGGGCTCGGTGGCTCAGCCTGCCATTCCAGTACTTTGGGAGGCCGAGGCGAGTGGATTGCCCGAGCCTGCAGGTTCAAGACCAGCCCAGGCAACTCGGCAAGACCTCATCTCTACAATAAATCAAAAATTAGCCGGGTGTAGTAGTGTGTGCCTGTCATTCCAGCTACTTGGAAGGCTGAGGCAGAATTATTGCTGGAGCCCAGCAGGCCAATGCTGGGGTGGCCATGAGTGTGCCACTGCACTCCAGCCTGGGCGACAGACTCCAATTAAAAA